CAGACTGAGCACTTTTTAATATGCACTGTGCATGTGTTAAAATAGAAATAAACCAGGAAGGGTTGATTACCTTAAAGGGACACTATAGTCACCAAAATAACTAGCTTAAAGGACCACTCTAGGCTATGTTTATGAATGGGTTAAGCCTTCCCCTATTTCCTCTAGCGGCTGTCCCATTGAGGCGCTGTGATTTTCAAGGTGAGAGCACGCAAGCATCCATAAGAAAGCATTATGAATGCTTTCCTATGTGACCGGCTGAATGCGCGCGCAGCCAGCCGTCTGGGAGGAGAAGAGGAGGAGAGCTCCCCGCCCAGCGCTGGAAAAAGGTACGTTTTTAACCCCTTTCCCCAGCCCGGCGGGAGGGGGTCCCTGAGTGTGAGGGCACCCTCAGGGCACTATAGTAGTCCTTTAATGAAACCGTTTTGGTGTATAGATCATGCCTCAGCAGTCTCACTGCTCAATTATCTGCAATTTAGGAGTTAAATCACTTTGTTTATGAACACTAGTCACACCTCCCTGCATGTGACTTGCACAGCCTTCATAAACACTACCTGTAAAGAATCATCTAATGTCTATCCTTCCTTTATTGCAAGTTATGTTTAATTTAGATTTTCTTATCCCCTGCTATGTTAATAGCTTGCTAGACCCTGCAAGAGTTTTTTGTATGTGATTAAAGTCCAATTTCCAGAGCAAGAGATACAATTGTTTAAGGTAAATTACATCTGATTTGAAAGTAAAAACATATATTTTTTTTTTTCTTCATGCAGGCTGTGTCCAGGGGAGGTGTGACAAGGGCTGCATAAACAAAAACAAAGTGATTTAACTCCTAAATGGCAGTGAATTGAGCAGTGACACCTGAGAAGCATGATCTATACACTAAAACTGCTTCATTAAGCTAAAGTTGTGTAGGTGACTACAGTGTTCCTTTAATTGTTTGTTGCATTTTTATGTATTTTAAATATGAATGTCTCTGTATACTCTATATGTAAATAGTTGAGATCAAGTCGTTTAGATCACTTTTGCATTACCCAAGCTACACCTCCGTCATATTTCCAACTGGAGTTAAATGAGCACTGGGCACTGGTGGTTGTAGCACCATGTTTGTCACTTAACTAATTCTTTACCATTTTTCTTTTTCTTTCTTTCTATGCCTGTCTAGCCAGTTTAACAGGGAGAGATTGAACTTTATCAGTCTGTTATAGGCTGATTTTTCTACTATCTATCATTTCATACCTCTCCTTATATGACATTGGACCCTTCATCTTATAACTATTTTTTGTTTTCCAAGAATTATTGATCTATAATTAAGCCCTTCTATGAATATTAAATCATTGATAGGGCTTTTAGCATTACCTATCTTTTGGATATTTGGACTAAAGGCAGTCCTACTTTGGGTCTTCATAAGATTATTACATTAGACATTTCCCAGAAGGATTTTATGATTGGGATATAGGTATCTGGCGTTTCTCATTCCCAATTAGCACACTATAACAAAACTTGTTTTGGGGGTTTGGGGGACTATCATGTATATTGTATCTATACTCCTACATTTTTCCTCTGTGGTTGGCATAGAATTATTAGTACCACCTGTATTTATTTTTGTTTGACTATTTGGATAGCTTGTCTCTTACAGCATTTACTATAGATGCGGTAGCTAGGTTCTTATTACACTGCATCGCTATATTTATTTCCAGGTGATGTAGCTAGTCCCAGGAACGTCTTTACACTGAGACTGGCTGCATCTTTGTATGGTTTGTTGTTCTTTGCTTAATTCGGGGTTAGGCCCCTATTGAGACACTTGGAGTCGCTTATCGGTACTTAAGTCTCTGTGTAGGACCAACCACTACCCTGTTTTCCTTTGGGGTAGTTCCATCGGTATATACACAGAGCCTTAGAAGTTTATTCTTTTTTTGTTTTGTTTTTTTGTTACTATTATAGTATCATATTATCATATGATAGTACTAGAATAGTATCATACAGCCATAATGCTGGCAAAGCATCAAGGAGACGCATTCCACAACGTCTGGAGTGCCGAAGGCTGCCAACCCGTGACCTAGAAGCTAGCTATTGTTTGTTTTTAATTGAAGATGTTCAGTAGAATGAAAAGTTCAGAATTATAAACATAAATGTATTTATTGCTTTGCACAGGGATATGAAATCCAGTTAACTGGACAATCTAAGCACAAAAATCACTTCATTTTATCAAGTGATTTTGGGTCATTGATGCTACCCATGCAGGCTTAAAGAGGGTCTCTCACAGGCCAACCATTTTTTTGTTTTACTGTCCCCCATTAATGATTTCAGTTCTAAATGCTCCCCCCCCCCCATGTAGTTTATTAACTTGAATGCAGCACCAGATCTTTGGCTTTATGTGCCCTTTCTCCTTCTCTGCATCAATAGAATGACAGAGACAATTTAAAATGAAAACCATACTATTTCTGTTTTTAAATGGACACTTCAAGCATTACACAGCCCACTACAACCCTTGCACAGTCTAAGAATGTTTTGACAACTCACTCTCCTGAAGTCGGTAGTTCCAGCAAGGAGTTTCCAGTGGGTTCACTGAGCTATGCCCTTCCGATCAAGGCTGGCACAACAGAGTTCATTCAAACTGTTTTTAAAAAGTGCATTCCACTACATCGGGTTAAAGGTGATTTTTAACCCCTTAGTGACCAGGCCGTTTTTCAGTTTTCTTATCGTTTGGGACCATGGTTGTTTTCACATTTCTGCGGTGTTTGTGTTTGGCTGTAATTTTCCTCTTACTCATTTACTGTACCCACACATTATATACCGTTTTTCTCGACGTTGAATGGTCTTTCTAAAGATGCCATTATTTTCATCATATCATATGACAAAAAAAAGTTAAAAAAACCCACACTTTTCTAACTTTGACCCCCCAAAATCTGTTGCTACAACTGCCAAAAAATACCCATGATAAATAGTTTCTAAATTTTATCCTGAGTTTAGAAATACCCAATGTTAACATGTTCTTAGCCATTTTTTTGGAAAGTTATAGGGCAATAAGTACAAGTAGCACTTTACTGTTTTCAAGCCATTTTTTTTTTTTTTTTACAAAATTACCGTACGTTACATTGTAACACTGATATCTGTCAGGAATCCCTAAATAAACCTTTACATGTATATATTTTCTAAAAGAAGACAACCTAAGGTAATAAACTTGGGGTATTTTTTATTCTTTTCATGCAACCATTTTACCACCAATTTATGCTAAATTTAATTTGGTGATTTGTTTGACACACATAACAATTTAAGAATACCAATATGTGTTCAGCAACATGTCCCGAGTACAGTTATACCACCCATGTATAGGTGTGTCGGGTTCGCTGGGGGCTAAAAGACCTTGTTTAGCGGGTGCGCATTCCAGTTTTCCAACTTGAAATTTTCACAGCTGGTCATCATGCACCCATGTCCTATTTGGGACATTTTTGAAGCCGGCCAATGTCATTTACCCCCATCAAACCATATATTTTTGAAAAGTAGACACCCTAGGGTATTTCAAATGGTGGTATTTAACACTTTCCATGCACTAATTCTACCACCAGTCTTTGTCAAGCTATTAGGTAGTATTTTTTTTATTTTTCTCTCACATTGTACTATAGGCATGGACTCTCAGTTCCGGTTATGTGTTACTGACAAAGAACACCCCAATATGTGTTCAGCAACATCTCCTGAGTTCAACAGTGCCCCCAATGTACAGGTTTTATGGGTTTTTGCAAAATTACAGGGGTCAAATGTAGAGCTTTCCCCTTTTAGACATAAATGGTTGTGTGTTGCGTTACTATGAGCGGACCGCAAATTTACACTGTTAAACAGGCTGTACACTTACTGCTTTACATTGTAGCAGAGCGTCATTTGTTCAGTGTTGTCCCATGAAAAGAGATAATAAAATATTTACAAAGGTGAGGGGTGTACTTTTTTTGTGCATCTGCTGCCTATTTTCACAAACTTGTCCCCAGTACCAGGGACACAAATAGTATAGAGCAAATACCTAAGTAAATTAAGAATAAAATTCCTTAACTTTTTAGATCAGTGTTCACCCTTTGTTTTTGTAGACCAGGGCTGTCATTATGGAGGTAAGGGACCTAACCGAACATTGTGGCATGGATAGTGTCCTGAAAATGAAATGTGGTTTGTCTGTTTGCCAATCAACTCCTTCTGCTAATTACACAATACACAATATCATGAATGCTGAAGGCCTGGCTTCCACTATGGCTTAGCATTAAGAGGGCCTAGCTGCCACTAGGCTTAGAATTAAATGTACCAGCCTAAAAACATATTCTCAATTAAAAATGGAAGAACTTTTTCATTGTATACTTGGTGACATTGCTGAATCCCTTAAACTTTGAATTTCAAAGCAGTAAGGCTGAAACTTGTGAATAACATAACACTTACAAACTGCTGGAGCAATTGGAAAGCTACACTGTAGTAGTTATGGTGCCACGGTTGCCATCACACGCCCCTCCTCCCTCTGTAAGTACTGAAATTGTTTTAGATTGGTTTGACTTTTTACCTGTGGTTCGCCGGGTGCCTCTCCCCTCCTCCAGTACATCTGCAAGTTCCTGCTTAGGTGCTTCAGTTAGCTCTCCTGTGCTAAGCCTTCCAGTGCAAGGCTAGCTCATTAGTTTAAAGTATCAGCTGATCCTTCTCAGCCAATGAGCCAGCGCCTGCATTGCCGGGTTTATCTCGGAGAGATTCTGACTCTCTGGCTGATGTAGTGGAGCCAGGGAGTGGTGCCTCTTGATTCCCCCCCCACATATAAGAAATCAAACCATTCTAAAATGTTTTGACTACTTACAATGCGGAGTTGCCAGTATACTCCTAACACTGTAACCACTACTGCATGCCATAGTGGTTATGGTGCATGTTGTGTTCCTTCAAAGATATCAAATAGTATATACAGTTATGTTGTTTACAGACAGAAGCTCCTTACAGTATAGTATATACCATTTCCTTTATTAAGGGGTTGTAAACACTTTAAACAAAGTCCATCAGGTGTTAGGACTCCAATGTAGTATCAAAATCTATACAGTATAAATTAATATCGTTGAGTTGCCTGGAATGAAATTACAATAATATAGTCACATGCAGTCCCTTTTAGACTTTGTTACTGGTGCCAGAGTCTTAGAATTTCTCTTAAGTGTAGTACGTATAAGCAATTGATTTTACTTGGCTTATCACTAAGCAGTATGCTCGAGGTTGTATTACTGTGAAAATTTGGACTATCTTTGGGATTGCATTGAGTAGGCCAGGTTTGATATAGTACAGTGGTTACTTAGGAGATCATTAGCTCATGTGCTAATTAGGTTCCTAGTAAGTGGTGTGGGAAGAGTTGGCAGCTGCAGGCAATTGCGATATACCTTAGTTCCATACATCAGGCACTGTTCTTCTGACAATAATAAGTAAAGCTCACCAGTGACCAGCTTTTACAGCTGAGAAAAAAATACAAATTGTGTGTGTGTGTGTGTGTGTGTGTGTGTGTATGTGTATATATATATATATATATATATATATATTACAGTTACTACTTACTTTGGATTTTCCCAGATATTTTAGCCTCCAGAGCAGTATTGTATCTTGGAGAATGGCAACGCTCTTTCAGCTGTCCACCCAGCTCCATGTCCTGTTCTGTTTTGTTATATCAACCCAACACATAATTTTTTATTTTTTTTCCCCTTGAACCAGAAACTAACTTTCTTTTATGGAAGAAAAAGGACAAGAGCATTAGGGCCACTAATAGTCCGAATAACCTGTATGTTCTTTATATAGCACATAGCTATAATTCCTTTGACATATTCAGCAGTATTAATTGGTTGATCGTGTCAGCTGACGAGCTCAGGCATAGAATCCCTTCCATTTTGATATTGCTAATTAGTGATTGGGACAGAGAAAAAGTGAGCTGCAGTTGCCCAAGTAACCCTTGGAGTGTGTCAAACAGTTTGCAAATGATTTGACATCTAACTGAGGACAACTGGAACAACCTTGCACTATAACAACTACAGCAATCTGTAGTGGCAGGGTGGATTTGATTTAAAGGGACACTTTAGGTACCAAAACAACTTAAAGGAACACTATAGTCACCTAAACAACTTTTGCTTAATGAAGCAGTTTTAGTGTATAGATCATGCTTCTCAGGTTTCACTGCTCAATTCACTGCCATTTAGGAGTTAAATCACTTTGTTTCTGTTTATGCCGCCCTTGTCACACCTCCTCTGGCTCTGATTGACACAGCCTGCATGAAAAAAAACTGGTTTTACTTTCGATCAGATGTAATTTACCTTAAACAATTGTATTTTTTTTCTCTGTAAATTGAACTTTAATTACATATAGGAGGCTTTTGCAGGGTCTAGCAAGCTATCAACATAGCAGGGGATAAGAAAAACTAAATTAAACAGAACTTGCAATAACGGAAGGATAAACTTTAGATGGCTCTTTACAGGAAGTGTTTATGAAGGCTGTGCAAGTCACATGCAGGGAGGTGTGACTAGTGTTCATAAACAAAGTGATTTAACTGCTAAATGGCAGATAATTGAGCAGTGAGACTGCAGGGACATGATCTATACACCAAAACTCCTTCATTAAAGTTGTTTTGGTGACTATAGTGTCCCTTTAAACCTAATGAAGAAGTTTGGGTGTATAGGGCATACCACTGCAGTCTTACTGCTCAATGTTCTGCCACTTAGGAGTCAAATTACTTTGTTTATACAGCTCTAATCACACATCCCTGCATGTGACTTACCTTGTCTTCCTAAACACTTCCTGTAAAAAGAGATCAAATGTTACTGCAGGGACATGATATATACACTAAAACTACTTAATTAAGCTAAAGTTGTTTTGGTGCTTAAAGTATTCCTTTAAATAAAGTTGATTTAAGAAGTAAGACTTGATTTAAATTATGATTTTAAAATGTAAAGACTCCTTCTTGCTGCTAGTTACAATCTTTAATATTTGCAACTAGATGAAGATTTCATATGTAGAATAATAACCTGTCAGATTAGTAAAACGGCTATATCAGAACTGATGGTAGTTTAATAGGTTAATCACTCATATTTGGAGAACTACTTGAATTGTTTTATTTAACCAATTCATGCTTGTTATATATTTCTCATTGTATTCACTCAGTACAGCCTAAAACTGAATATTGGCTTATTTCAACTCCATATTTCTTTTTAGCAACTGTATAAAAATGCAGTGCCATGCAGTAACAAGAACGAATATATATAAAAAAAAAAAAAAAAAAATTATGAAATAAAAATAGTTTACCAACTTGAAAGTCCTGCGTCTTCAAATGTTCCTTTCATCACAGCATTTCATTTGGACCAGCAGGCTTTGCATTTGCTTGTTGCATTGCTTGTATTTTGCACGCATAACTGCATTACCCATAGGTAGAAAAACTTCATTAAAATACTTCCAAACTGGATCTCTTTTATGGCCTGCTGCCATGTTGCTCCTCAAGAGAGGAAATAAAGCACTTCAAGCGATGCGCACAAACATCCCAAAGTGTGTAAGCTGCTCAGGTTTCACTTTCATTTTACTGCTTGCCTATCCTCCCTCACACATAGAGCCAGGTACTCCAAACAATCTTAAAAACCTAGCACATGTACATAGATTTGCAGAACCACAATGGCATTAAGGTCTTTTCCTGAGCTTTGAAGTGACTGTTACCTCATCTTGGATTAATTGAATTAGTTTATCAAAAATGTAAATATTGCATGAATATACAGCCTCATACTACATAACTGATACCTTATCTATGCTGAATAACCTTTGAACTGTAATGTATCTTAAATAGAAAACTATCTTTAGATAGATTTTTCCTTCAAAAGCATTTCATTAAAATAAATTTGATTAAAATAAAAAAACGTATTAAATTCAAATCCGATATTTTATTTACTCGGTTTTAATCCACCATATGTAGTGGTTATAGTGCTTAGAGTGCCCATTTAACAGACCGAAGCCCCCTACAGCCCATTGACATCACAAGTTTTTCGGACATCTCAGGAGTTTGCTGAGAGAAGATAGCAGCATTGAAGTTGGCTATCTGTTGCATAGCCACATTTAAGTATAAATAAATACAATAAACCTATTCTGCATGTTTTCAATTGGTTCCAGGCATCATTTGTGTGTTTTTACAAATACATAATATGTTGGCTGAGTTACATAAGTTATTCGAGCAACCAACACTAGCATGTCAGGCACACTCAATGAGAACAGATTAAAGCTGACCCTATAGTGCATCCATTTAGGTACCCCCATCCCCCCCCCAAGTCCCTTTTAAAAGGTAATAAAACTTATCCTATTTCCAGTGCCGCACAGGTCTGCTGGCCCTGCCCCTGATTCGCCTCCTTGGTGACATCATCAGAATTAAAGATTTCAGCTGAAATCGGCAAGGGGGTGGGGCAGCTTGGCCAATCCGTACCTTCTCATAGAGATGCATTAAAACAGTGCATCTCTGTGGAAAGTTCAGCATCTCCATGCAGAGCGTGGTGACGCTGAACACAGTGCACTGCCCCAGGAAGCACATCCAGTGGCCATCTGAGAAGTGGCCACTGGAAGTATCCCTAGGGGGCAATGTAATGTACTCCCCAGAACATTTACATTAAGCTGTAGTTGTTCTGGTGACTATAGTGTGCCTTTAAATGAACTTTATAACATTAGGTATACAAACATTCCTAATGCTATAGTCTTCTACTCCGTATTTAGATTCAAGGCTCTCCCCAATTTAATTTTAAAAAGGAAAAAAAAGTTTTATTTGCCCTTTTCAAGTTCCAAGACTCCTGTGTCGTCTTTTTGGAGGCTGTCGCCTCTTTGCCTTCTCTCTGAGAAACATTGGGGAAGAGAAGTGCATGTTAGGCAAGCACCAAGCTCCTTCAATCAAATGTTTTTTTACAGCGATGTATTGGATCCAAGGCTTCCTTATGTTTAATGTCCTTGTGCAATGCGTGAGGACATTGAACATCACAGAATGTTGTCTGACTCAGTTGTAGGAGTGAAAGCACCCACTAGTGGTCGTCAGGAAGGCCTCCACTAGAGGTGTGTTTAGCCCTGTAATGTAAACATGGTCATATCTAGAAAACATTTAGTAATGTTTTACATTGTGCGATGAAACCACAGGGCCACTGTGTTAATTCAAGTTTTCTCGAAGTGCCTTTTAAGTAAATGTTATCTTCCTAACTGCCTATTTGTCTGCTGCCTGCTTCAGTTCCACTAAAGTGCTTGATGAGTACCAATGTCAGCACTAGCTTCTTCTTCTTCATATCAAATGAAATTAAGCATTAAGAACGCACTCCATAATATAGTTTTGCATCTTGAGGCAAACGGAAACCGTGGAGGGGTGGGATTAGAGTGTGGTATTAGGACTGAGTTTATAGGTAGGATCGTTCCCGTTAGAGGTCCTGCAGGACCTGTCCTTTGAGCGGCTCTTGCCGAGGAATTTGAATTTCTCCATCATGCACGGCATGGTGGCTGGCTCGGCCGGTCCCTGCTCGTGGTGGGTGTGAGGTCGGAGGGACACATTGATCCAGGGCTGCCAGTGGCGCACGCACATGCTGCCTCAACACCTCCCCCTGATGCAGCTCCTGCCGCCTGACTGCCTGCCAATTGGAGGAGATACCTGCGCCGACTCTGGGCTGTGGCAGCGGGGAGTGAGGTTACTGGTTGCTGGGAGAGCGGTGTCCCCCGCTGAACTCTTTGACCTGGTGGAAAGCGGCCACCATGAGCCATGAGGTATGTTACCCAGGCTTGTAAGCCAGGATGGACTTTGGCACATAAGCTGTTGTGGACTAGGGTTCGCATGATTCTCTGGCTAAGTACACTAAGGAAAAATGATTATATATTGTACACCACCATGAGTGCCAAGTCATCAGTGATATGCTATAAATGTCACCTTATTTCATATTTTTACTGGTCACCTGTACATTAGATCTAATTAGCCATGAATAAAAGGCATTCTTTTCATGCCTTTATTTTATTTATTTCACTTATTTTCAAAGATTGTATTTGGCGGTTCAAAACAGCTTGAATGTCCAGAGGCCAGCAATTTAGGGCTCACCTCCTTGTCAGTAAGTATGCTCCGTAAACAGTTGTTAACAATCGGTTGATATTTGAGACCGCAAAATATAAATAAGTTTCCAAAGATCACCAATACGTGTATCATATACATGATTGTAAAGCGTAACACAGCTGCTACTGATCACTA